GAGAAACACACAAAATAAGGAAATTAAAGCTTCTACACAGTGTTCGAAGGCATGTATTTTACGATGTGCTGCAATAATTTTATTGTGTGTTTGGAGGTTGAATTGCGATTTCTCAAGCATTCGAATGCCCATTAAAATATTGTGCTATAGCACCCATGGCTGATCTGGCAAGCTTGCTCTCGTGGTGGAGTGAACAAATAAACTTGCTGTCAATAATGCCGTCGTGGGGGAGCCCAGAAGTTGCTGAACGTCAACAAAGTTCCATATTGGCAGCGTCTTTCCGGGAGTGAGCGAAATCATAGCAGAGCCTTCAAGCTTGTCACCTGCTAAACCCGACTCATTGAAACCGCCACCGACTCCGAGGTACCTCTAGGTAACTCTCTTCTCAGTGAGCTGCTCTACATTTTTTGCCCAGTAGAGTCACTCTCGACAACAAAACATTTCTATATAACAACCGCGAGGGTTGTCAGATTTAATGTTTGTGCACTAGCTATTTGACAGGCTTCCCGACAGCAGCCAAAAGATTCAGTGACGACAACAGTTTACGAGCGGGGGAACGTCACTTTTCTTTGTCTTTCCCATAGAGTTTTATGCATTAGCCAATGTCAAGTGATGGGCGCTGGTGGCACCACTCCTCCCTATTAAGACGAGCCTCGATCCGTGATCCAGCTTACTACAACAGAGATCAGTGGCACCAACTAGCCCAGGTACTGATGTCGCTGGCTTTCTGGCGCAATATAATAAATAACATGCTGAAAAGAGCAGGGCCATGACATGACGTGGTGAGGCTAGCCTCTGTGATGCAGCTTCTTCGGTAGGTGCATCCCCTCTGACCTCATCGCCCGTCTGTCTATGCTGAAAGAAGCAGTGGTGAATCTCCTTCGTGGGATTGCCAATGGGAGCAGCTTCATCTCCATCTTTGGCAAACTCCACCGGCGAACCAACTCCATTGTGACGTCGGTCAACACGCACGACTGAGTTGAAACTCTATCGGGATTTTTCCCTTAAAGTGTCCCCACTAAGAATCTCAAAACACCGCGGTGAGTATAACAGTAAAAATATTATTTTTAAGTTGGCAAAATGAATAGCATGAGACAAAATTAAAAAAATATATTCCTGAAATCTGGTTGCATGAATTAGTACCTAATGTACTGAAATAATGAATACTGTCACGGGTGGTGACCAAAAGAAAACAGAAAATGAACAAGAAGAAATAAACGTTTAATGTGGCGAACTTGTGCCAAAAATAAAAGGGTACAAAAGAAAACAGCAGAGCGTCGCGGGCGTCGATATCGGCGAAACCGCAGGATCGAGCGCAGAGGCGAGACTGACTCGACAAGGTCGCGAGCGGCGTCTTATCTAGAGTGAGTCACTATCTCGAAGATTCGGCGGAGAAGGTTCGAGCGTAGCGCGCTCGCGGCGAGAATGTACACGCACTTTCGAGAACAACATAAGCAGGGATAAACGACAGAAGTTAGGTCCGGAGCAAGAATAAACGAGAAAGTACTAGAAGTCCGTGACCCTGCGCGCGGCATTATCCCCCCTTTAAAAGCGCATCGTCCCGATGCAGCACAAAACAAAAAAACAAAAAAAAAAACAAAAAAACACAAATCCTTAACAAAACGGTAGCAAAATCGCGAGCCACAGTTCACAGTTCTCAGTTCACTCGTCGACAAGAGTAGAAAGTTCTATCGTTCGTAATACGGCTTCAGCCGGACGACGTGCACCACCTCGGGTCGCGGCTGACGTCTTGCAGATGGGCGCGTTCCGAGGTGGTGCACGTCGTCCGGCTGAAGCCGTATTACGAACGATAGAACTTTCTACTCTTGTCGACGAGTGAACTGAGAACTGTGAACTGTGGCTCGCGATTTTGCTACCGTTTTGTTAAGGATTTGTGTTTTTTTTTTTGTTTTTTTGTTTTGTGCTGCATCGGGACGATGCGCTTTTAAAGGGGGGGATAATGCCGCGCGCAGGGTCACGGACTTCTAGTACTTTCTCGTTTATTCTTGCTCCGGACCTAACTTCTGTCGTTTATCCCTGCTTATGTTGTTCTAGAAAGTGCGTGTACATTCTCGCCGCGAGCGCGCTACGCTCGAACCTTCTCCGCCGAATCTTCGAGATAGTGACTCACTCTAGATAAGACGCCGCTCGCGACCTTGTCGAGTCAGTCTCGCCTCTGTGCTCGATCCTGCGGTTTCGCCGATATCGACGCCCGCGACGCTCTGCTGTTTTCTTTTGTACCCTTTTATTTTTGGCACAAGTTCGCCACATTAAAAGGGTACAAAAGAAAACAGCAGAGCGTCGCGGGCGTCGATATCGGCGAAACCGCAGGATCGAGCGCAGAGGCGAAACTGACTCGACAAGGTCGCGAGCGGCGTCTTATCTAGAGTGAGTCACTATCTCGAAGATTCGGCGGAGAAGGTTCGAGCGTAGCGCGCTCGCGGCGAGAATGTACACGCACTTTCTAGAACAACATAAGCAGGGATAAACGACAGAAGTTAGGTCCGGAGCAAGAATAAACGAGAAAGTACTAGAAGTCCGTGACCCTGCGCGCGGCATTATGTACACGCACTTTCTAGAACAACATAAGCAGGGATAAACGACAGAAGTTAGGTCCGGAGCAAGAATAAACGAGAAAGTACTAGAAGTCCGTGACCCTGCGCGCGGCATTATCTCCGGGCTGGAAGTGAACGTCCCTACGACGAAGGTTGTAGCGGCCGGCGTCGACGCGTTGCTGGTCTTGAATCATGAGTCGGGCGAGCTGGCGGACTTCTTCGGCGCGTTGAGCAACCGCCTGGGCGTCGTCGCTCTCGTTGTCAGATGGCTCATGGGGCAGCATGGCGTCCAGCATGGTCGTTACCTTCCGACCATGCGTTCTTCTTGTTCATTTTCTGTTTTCTTTTGGTCACCACCCGTGACATTTTGGTGGAGGTGCGGGGTAACCGCATGCCCGTGCAGCGCTCCCCCCCCCCCGAGTTCTCGCAGTGCAAGTCCGAACACAAGCCCCCAAGAACCCAACGAAGACCAGACCGAGATCCGACTAAGTCGCCGGAACCTTGGCCTACCCCCGGAATCAGGACCCTTGCTACCCAGCACCTCCACCAAAATGTCACGGGTGGTGACCAAAAGAAAACAGAAAATGAACAAGAAGAAATAAACGTTTAATGTGGCGAACTTGTGCCAAAAATAAAAGGGTACAAAAGAAAACAGCAGAGCGTCGCGGGCGTCGATATCGGCGAAACCGCAGGATCGAGCGCAGAGGCGAGACTGACTCGACAAGGTCGCGAGCGGCGTCTTATCTAGAGTGAGTCACTATCTCGAAGATTCGGCGGAGAAGGTTCGAGCGTAGCGCGCTCGCGGCGAGAATGTACACGCACTTTCTAGAACAACATAAGCAGGGATAAACGACAGAAGTTAGGTCCGGAGCAAGAATAAACGAGAAAGTACTAGAAGTCCGTGACCCTGCGCGCGGCATTATGTACACGCACTTTCTAGAACAACATAAGCAGGGATAAACGACAGAAGTTAGGTCCGGAGCAAGAATAAACGAGAAAGTACTAGAAGTCCGTGACCCTGCGCGCGGCATTATCTCCGGGCTGGAAGTGAACGTCCCTACGACGAAGGTTGTAGCGGCCGGCGTCGACGCGTTGCTGGTCTTGAATCATGAGTCGGGCGAGCTGGCGGACTTCTTCGGCGCGTTGAGCAACCGCCTGGGCGTCGTCGCTCTCGTTGTCAGATGGCTCATGGGGCAGCATGGCGTCCAGCATGGTCGTTACCTTCCGACCATGCGTTCTTCTTGTTCATTTTCTGTTTTCTTTTGGTCACCACCCGTGACATTTTGGTGGAGGTGCGGGGTAACCGCATGCCCGTGCAGCGCTCCCCCCCCCCGAGTTCTCGCAGTGCAAGTCCGAACACAAGCCCCCAAGAACCCAACGAAGACCAGACCGAGATCCGACTATGTCGCCGGAACCTTGGCCTACCCCCGGAATCAGGACCCTTGCTACCCAGCACCTCCACCAAAATGTCACGGGTGGTGACCAAAAGAAAACAGAAAATGAACAAGAAGAAATAAACGTTTAATGTGGCGAACTTGTGCCAAAAATAAAAGGGTACAAAAGAAAACAGCAGAGCGTCGCGGGCGTCGATATCGGCGAAACCGCAGGATCGAGCGCAGAGGCGAGACTGACTCGACAAGGTCGCGAGCGGCGTCTTATCTAGAGTGAGTAACTATCTCGAAGATTCGGCGGAGAAGGTTCGAGCGTAGCGCGCTCGCGGCGAGAATGTACACGCACTTTCTAGAACAACATAAGCAGGGATAAACGACAGAAGTTAGGTCCGGAGCAAGAATAAACGAGAAAGTACTAGAAGTCCGTGACCCTGCGCGCGGCAATACAATCAACGTTAACTACAACCCTTTACGTTGCGAAGACAGTTGTGGCCGACAACGCTAAGAAACGCAAGCTAGGTCGCTACGTCTCGGCACGACAGTTTGCGCTTCTCCTGGACTTTCTCGGTGAAAGTCGAGTTTTCTCGGGGACTGCTACAGAGAGCTTTGTTACCAAGGAGGAGCGAGATACACTATGGGGCGTAATAGTTTGAGAGTTAAATGCCCTTCGGCCATAAAGAATAACTTTCTGGAACTCACGTGCATGCCAGACGTGGGCTTGCGACCTGAGAGTCTCGTGTCCCTAACAGAAGACCGGTGCAAACCTGCCAACTCTTCCGAATTTTTTGTAAAATGTATGAATTGGGACTAATTCTACGATTTTACGAATCTTGCTTCAAATTTTACGAAAAAAAGATACTTTTTTCATTTCTATTTTTTTAACATTTTTTTCGTAAAACCGTTGCTGGCGGTACCTCACACTGCCACAAGAGGGCGACAGGTGCCGTCCACGGCAGCGTTGTGGTTTTTACTATCCGTCTATCCGGGGGCCACATATCCAAAATCAATCCAAAGCCCAAAGCCTTTGTTTGTGTGTTTGGCGGCGCATGTTGGTTTGGCGTGTTCAGACGTGGTTGGGCCTCTGTTTCGGCCAGTTTCGAGGCGAGAAGTGCAGCGTCTGTGTTTGTTACACGTGTAATCATAGCATTCCTCTGGTTGCGGTGGCTTCGCGGTGCAATGGCAAATTCCAAACCTAAAAAGAGGTACTTTCAGGTGTTCTTGAAGTCCTACACGTCGGAATTCCAGTGCTTTGTGCCGTCCAAAAAGGAGAGAAGTTTGGATTCTGTAGCACGTGCACGTGTAACGTAAGCGTTTTGCACGGTGACAAGGCTGACATTAAGCCTTGCCACCTTGCGAAACAGCCCCCCCCCCCCCCCCCCGCAATTGCGTGAGTTTTACGAATTTTAATGTCCACAGGTTGGCAGGTATGCCGGTGGAGGCGCGAGTGATGGGCCGTCCCTAAACGCGGAGCAAGAAAAATTATTATTTTTTGTGGGGACGGATTTCTCTCGAGGGGGCGGGCGTGCGCCCCCGACGTGGACGCGCCGCTGTGGGACTTCACGGCTGCAGCAGCAGCTTCGATAAGTACCGTGAATCTCTTGGATCATGAGCAGACACCATGTTGCTTTTTACCTTATTGAACACTAATGTACAAAACAATGTGGTGCGAATGTATTGCCTCGTGGTGTTTTCCACGAAAGCTTGGATATCGGGGCTGCAGCACATTTCTAGACCCACTCGGAGACAATAAATCCGTGACATTCGAAAAAAAAATAATATTGAGTTTAGGGTGCACACTATTAGACACAGGTATAACTAGAAGGGCTGTATAGCGTTGTGGCGTGTTACATAGTTGAATTATATTATGCAGGGGTCTGTGGCTGAAGGCGACATGGCAAAGGGAGGAGAGGAGGAACGTCCTGCGCAAGTGGCATGCCCCCTACCACCGAATGGTACGAACGGTCTGGAGTTGATACGGCACGGGATCTGCTGTCCATTCGGCAGGACCAGCTGGCTGTCCAGCGAGAACTGCTGGCCACACAGCAGGGTCTGCTGGCCACCCAGCAGCAGCAGCTGGCAGTTCAGCAGGAAATGCTGCTCGTGCAGAGAGAGGCAGTCGATGCACTCCGTCGACTTGCAAGCGTAGGTGTTAAGAGAACTGTAGTGTAGTGCACTCCCAATTATTGTTGTTAGGCTGATTTTGGTCAACCCTACTTTAGCCAGTTAAGTTAGAAGGCAGTGTTCTTAGACTCAAACTGAAACCAGATATGATTTGTATGTGTATTTGAAGTGTCCAACAGCGAAGGCTTTATTTTGTTTATTTCAATGAAACCTTCCAGTGCCATAATGCTAATGAAAATTGGCAAGCCTTGAGACAAAATTTTTTCAACTTATTGAAAATTACCATACTGTGCTCGACAATCCGAACTACTACGTCTAAACCGTGGTTCAATAATCCACTTCATCGTTTATCTCATAAAAAGAAAAGATGTTTCAGGAGCGCTAAAAAAGGAAATACTTGGCCTAAGCTTGCCACTTGCTCTTCCGAATAAAAAACTATGTTAAAGGGGTGTTAGCACACATTCTTTCTGATAACTCTAAGCAGACATTCTTTCTGCAAACTCTACCTAATATGTTAATAAACAACCCTCGCAAATTTTGGAGATTTGTACTCTGAAATTAATCTAGTGAATAGCTCTTGTAATAACATATTGAATAGTGAATGTGTGAATATTTAAATAGTGCGTTTTCTGATGCTTTCACTATTTCTACACCCATTACTGGAATTTCTCCTGTTATAGAGAATGATTTTCCAATGGATTCAATTGTTATAAACATTCAGGGTGTTTTCAGCGGTATAGGAACCCTCAAAATATCTCCATCATGTGGCACAGAGGAAATCATTACGAAGGCTCTCACTAACACTAAATTTTCATCCGGTCTTTACCTCAAAGATATTTGAGCAGTCCGTGGACACAGGGGTGTTGCCCTCTGACCGGAAAATTAGTAAGTAGGCCAATATCACTCACCTGCCTCTACAAGATCCTCGAGCATGTCATTTACAGGCACCTGATTAACTTCCTGGATTCCTGCAATTTCTTCACCAATGTGCAGCATGGCCTCTGGAAACGCCTTTCTATTGGGACCCAACTACTTATTATAACTAACGATTTGTTTAAAAATCTTGACACCGGCTTTCCTACTGACGCTGTTTTGCTTAATTTCGCCAAAGTTTTTGCTAAAGTCCCGGACAATCGCATTCTTCTTAAACTTTTTTTCCTAAAACTAGATCCTCATGTTCCTAAGTGGATTGAATCATTCCTTATTCATCGCTCTCAATTCGTTTTCACTAACAGCACATCCTCCTCTTTCTCTCCCGTTTCTTCCGGTGTTCCACAGGAAATTGTGCTTGGGCCTTTGCTCTTTTTAATCTACATTAATGATCTCCCTCTTCACATCTCATCCTCTGTTCATCTTTTCACTGATGACCTGTGCTGTTTATAGACTAATAAAAAACCCATATGACCATGTTGCACTCCAGAACGGCATTTAAGGGGAGACACTGCTCTTTGAAGCAAAATTTTACTAAGAAAACACATTTTTAAAAATGTGTTTTTTGAAGTTTGGCAAGCACTTATCATCTTGTCCTGAAGGATTTTCGACATATTGAATGAGGGCTACAAATATATTAAATAGGCTGTCAGGCTTTTTGTGGGTGCCTTTTAGGCATCCGGCAAAAAATGATTTTGAAACTGGAAGGTTCAAAAGTGTCATAAGTAATTTATAAATCATCCTAGAGCTTTCATTTATACCTTATTGGATTGCACAAACCTCTCAGTTCACTGATCTATGTTTATTTTCTGAGCTCAGTATTTTAATTTGCGTTAATCCTTTCCATAATCATTGCAAATTAAATTTTCAATATTAATAAATCTAATTAGGTTACCTCAAAACAAAGTACATATTTGTAGTCCGATTGTAATGCCAAATAAGCCATGTAAATTTCATTTTATTTGAATCGCAAGTTATATAAAAAAGCTCTTGAAGCAGTGTGTCACACATGGCAGATGTGTCTCAACATTAGCAAATGCACACACCTTTGCTTTACACATTCTTGCTTCCAGCCCTTAAACTCGTTAACATTCAATGGCACTACCATTCTGACTGCTACACAGTAAAAATATCTAGGCGTTCGTTTAACCACTAATATATCCAGGAAGGTTCATGTCGACGAGACAATATCATCCTCAAACCGCTCACTCGGTTTTGTTTGTCGCAATTTCAACTCTGCCTTTTCTATCCTTAAACGTCTCCTTTACGCCATGCTTGTTCGCCCTAAACTAGAGTATGCTTCAGCTATCTGGCACCCACATCAGTCTTTTTTTAACTAACGCAAATCGAATCTGTCCAGAATCGTGCTGCTCGATTTATTTTTTCTAATTAGTCTCGCTTTTCTTGTGTCACTGCAATGAAATGTCAATTAGCTCTTCCTGATCTTTCCGTTCGTCGCAGAATTTCCCGTCTTTGCCTTTCCATAAAATGTACTATTCGGAACCATTACGACAGTCTCTCCTCAGCCAGCCCAGCTATATCTCTGCAAGACTCGATCATTCGTGCAAGATTACCCTTCCCAAGACCATTTCAACATTCCCTTCTACCAGAAGCTATTGTAGACTGGAATGGCCTTCCAGATGATATTGTCACCATCACCGATAACGCTAAAATCAGAACTGTACTAACCATGCACTCCCCTCTGTAATGCCCTTCGGGGCCTTGAGGGTAATTCTAAGTAACTAAAGAAACAAATAAATAATATTCCGCCACCAGCGTGTGTTCGTGTAATTATAGGAAACTGGCCTCGTTACTGAAGGACTTGTCACGCGGCAACTCTGCCGTCAGTGTAACTAAAATGCATCATTCGCAAGCGCAGGCAAGAACGCCACCAAGGCAGCTCCAAAGGGGAAAGAGAACAGAGTAAGGGTGGATTTACTCGCCCCACATACGCCTTTGATCAGACTTCTCGACTTCTTTCGTTAACACAGCCATTCTCTTTTCTTCTGTGCTTTAGGAGCACCTAAAATGCCAGTAACTCGTTGTCTACGAGTAATCTAATAAGGTGAATGGTGAAAACTGCTCTGCAACATGACTGCACAGAGCTTACCAAGGTGAAAAGTTGTTTGGCAAAAGTTTCCTATTGTATTGCTTGCAACGCGTCTGAAAACCTCTGGCGTGCTTTTAACTTTACTAATGTGTTGCGTAACAGTTTGCATTTTGTGCATAATGCGCTCCCCTTTTCCTGCAGGCTGTAGAGGGACAAGCAGCAGCAAGTGCGCACCAGTCGTCCGCACTGACTTCGCTAGTGCTTCAGCTCGTCGGTGTGCAGAATCTCCATCCGCCAGCCGAATAAAGTGGGTCTCTATGCTCCATTTCATTTTTGGCACGGGTTACACCACCGTTACTTGAACATCTCAGTTGAAAAACTGCCATAGGTGTCCGCTTTGCAGAATTGTTAAAAGCGAGCAGTCGCAGTCCCGCTGTTCTTGCTGCAGCGGCCATTTTGTAAACTGTGGCTAGACCAAACAACATCTGTGCCTCGATGGGCTTCTCAAGCGTGGCACTGCTCCCCATTGTAGCTCGCTGTGGCTCGCGTGTGGTGTCCGCATTCGAAGACCAACTTTCCTTAACTGGTATGTCGTAGTAATCTTAGATTACGCCACAAGCGAACTTGACATGCAGAAAGAAGGAATTTTTATCAATGTAGACTGCTTTGTAACATCTTCCAACTATTCATATTTGTTTATTCAAAGTGTTCAATAATGGCCGAAGTGTCTCACTTGGTGCACTTGTTAGTAACAGGAATACAAAGGATTTCCAGCAAGGAAGCCTAAGGAAGCTCGAGCACTTCTTAAAGGACACATGCAAAGGACTAATAAAGTTTTTTTAAACAGCCTGGTTGGGAAAAGGAAGTCATAAAACGAATTCACAAGGAAAATAAAAATTTTAAGAGCTATATTCACGGCGCTATACGAATTTGTAGTTGGCGCCGGCGGGCGCTGCGGAAAAGTGGCTGCTAGTTGTCACGTGACTGGTCGCTATTTGTCACGTGGTGCTTCCGCTCTATCGGAAGCTTCCTATGGTCTCTAAAAGTTAGTTATTCATCTTTATTTTAAGTGCAACAAAACACAAAGATTAATCGGTAACTTTTCGAACCCAAAGAAAGCTCCTGAAAAAGCGGAAGCAGACGTTATAGACCTGTGTGCCGGTCAGATGACGGCGGCAGCGCTGCGGGGTAGACAAACTTGCGCGGCGGTGGCGGTGTGGAGAAATGAGTTGACGGCGGCGCACCACGCTCAGCGTGCAGCGGCGGCGTGACTGTGAGTCGACTTTGAGACGGCGCACAGGTCTATCACATGACTTGCGGCGGCTCCCACGGGCGCAACTACAAAATCATTTTGTGTCGTCAATATAGCTCTAAATTTTTTTTTTCTTCGTTCTAATTTTATTTTATAACATTCTTTTTCCATCTGGTCTGTTTACAAAAAAAAATGTTTTTTTACTTCGCATGTGTCCTCAAACTTTTAGTACTTTATCGTTAGAAGTTGGAACCGCGTTCCCGCAAGATAAATCGTGATTTGATAGAACTGAAACGTGATCCGATCCGAAACCTTGCCGGCCAGCAGCTTTCACGCGATCGGTAGATCTGTTTGGTGTACTTTAACCTTGCACCTGCTTGTCACTTCGAATACGATAACTTCGTTAATCGTAGTCTGCTGCTTCGATATTCAGTTGCACAATAGGATAAACTCGAAATTTGGTGCCCTGTTCCTCCGCGCAACTCCGCGTCCGTTGCTTACGCACGTCACGTGGTTCGCACATATAAGTACTATGTCGAGCACGTGTGGGTTGTGTGATAAGCAGAGCTGGTTTGCATTTTGAGCAGCTGAAAGCCACTAAGAAAATAATCAGACTTGTACCCGTCACTGAAAAAGTAACCGATGACAGTTACAATCACTTTGCTGTATAAAGTACCCGACTACAATTACAATTACAGCCTCAAAGAAGTAATCGAAAAATTACTCTAAAGTAAGCAATTACTTCCCACGTTACTTTTCATTCAAACTTTTTTTATGATAGCATAATCCGTGGAATCTCGCGCTCAGTTGTTAAAGAAAAAAAAAAAGAAAGCCTCGACTGTTTTTGCTTAAAGCGCGAAACACACGTACAACCAAACCGTCCGATCCGACGTCTGACCGCGCAATACGACGGTCGGGGGCAAGGGTTTTCAACGCTCTCCGATGCTGCGGAACCCCCTCGCCCCCCAAGGTCATTCCGGCAGTCCGCACGTCGGATCGGACGGTTTGGTTGTACGTGTGTTTCGCGCTTAAAGCTGAGTGAGTGATGGCACACACCTAATCCCTCACAAGAGGCTAGATAAAGTCATTTTTCATACCCATAAGTAGTCTCCGGTGTAGAAATAAAAATGTACCCACGAAAAAGAAGCATAGTAAAGTGGCCTACTAATCCTCACAGCCTCGTGCTTAATAATTTCGAAAAAAAAAAAAAGCCCGTTGCCCGGAGCTGAATAACTCCAACTCCCTCCCCCCCCCCCCCCCCCCCCAAAAAAAAAAAAAAAGAAATGAGGAAGATTGTAATGGGGGGTAATTTTGTAATCGATTACAGCAAAAAATTAGTTCAACTAAAAAGATCATTACCCCTTAAAGGAAGTAATCGAAGCGTCACAAAATTGCAGTAAAAATAATCAATTACAAGTAATCTTGTAACACGTTACGTACGAGTCTGGAAAGTATAGAGGCTCACAAAGTTTCAAGTTTTCACACCTTTTACACTGTTATCCCATCTACCTAGGTCCCTAACCACTCATGTTCATCTGTGCTGCTAAGCGCTATTGAAATTGCTCCCGTGCGTGTCTAAGACACAAGCTGAAGTGCAATGAAAACTGATCTGAGCTGCTCCTAGCCTGCTCCAGAACATAGTTTTAGCTGCTCCCAACCTGCTCCTAAACAGCTGTTTCAGTTGCTCCCGTGGCTGTTCCCAAGGACATTTCGTGAGTTCCACCCCTGCACTAACTACGTCACCGGACCTTGTCAAGTCCATTCAATACTGCGACGGGCTCCGTGATTATAGGTTACAACATGTCGACTTGCCACTCCGTTCTCGTCAAACATTCTATTTCCAAGATCATTCGCGATTATAATGAGGCTGATTATAGATGAATAGATCATGGGTTGACAATCTTTTTTGACCATTACATTTAAATTGTCCTCTTCCATCAGTAGAGGAAACCGGCATTATTTAAAGCTAAAATGAACAGTCTTATAAATATGTTTGTTCCGACAGCCTGAGTATGCACTGATTCAAATAACCCATGGTTCACCAAAATGCTGCTCTTTTTGCATAACAAGAAAAGGCTATTTGCAAAGGCTAAACGTGTTAACACCTCAAGCTTTGGGTGCTTATAACTTTGCCCTTAAAAACTACAATAAAAAGTTGAAATTGGCTAAGTTTTGTTTTTATGACTCGCTGTCTATTTTGAATGGTAACCCAAGGAAGTTTTGGAACATGGTGTCACCAAAAAGCAATAACTCTGCCATCAAACCAAGCCGCGACAATGGCGATCCCATACAAGAAAGCGACTGCTCTGCAAATTACGACCCCAGCCAAAATATTACGTCCGTGGGACGCCGCATTCTCAACTAATGCCGATAATAAAAATGCGACCCGCCGCAAGCCGCTGCTCCTTAGCGGGCGGCAAGCGGTTTGTCGATCGCCAAAGCAACATTGGGCCGTGACGTCAGTATCCTTCTCTTTTTTTCCTCTGGTCCAGGAGTTGCGCGTAGTGCGCTTCTTTGAGCCACTACCACAGCTACTTCGGCTTGCGATTGGCGTGTTTAGCCGTTGCTTTTATCTGTAGCCCGTGTAGCTTCGGTATAGATTTTTGTTTATTTGCTTGTGAGGACTTCAAGACTCGTTTTAGCGAGCAACTCGGTGCGCCCAAGACTGCCCAGCTGTTCCTCGAAAGATGCCGAGCGCAACTTGTAGCGCTGTGGGCTGCTCAAACAACCCGCTGTGCAACCCGGAGGTGCTTCTTCACAAGTTTCGAACGGACCGGAAATTGAAGAAAGTGTGGGTGAACGCTGTTCGATGAGTGGACTTTGGACTTCGGCTTTTATGCGCCCGAGGAAAAAAGAACGAAAAAACAGAGGTGTACAGCCCAGCACTCGTGTGTTCGGACGCCGCAGCTCGCGCCGTAGAGCCTCAAAGCTTCGTGTCTGGGACTGACCCGCAGCGCGAAAGTGAGAGGGCCCCCAGTACTGTACGTCACTGGCAGCACAGCGTAGAGCAACGCCGCTCCATCCACAGAGCCCCGATGACAATTTAGGTCTAGCGACGAGTACGGAAGACCACACACACGGCGACAGCCGCAGAGTACGGCACCGAATGAGTTCACTTGTTTTCCAGTCGCTAGCTTTTGGGTATACAAGCGACGAGTACGGCATAGCGCACGCATGGCGGCGGCCGCCGAGTACGGAATCGTACGAGTTCACGGGTTTTCCAGTCGCTAGCTTTTGGGTATATGCACTAGCCCTTGCTACATATGCTGGATAACTACCACGTATACAGAATTAAAACAAAATCAGCTTACCTCCTATCTTTAGACGGCTAGCGCAACAGAGGTAGGTGCCGCTCGGCGTGCGTGCTCGTTGAACGAGAACGATCCTGACGTCACGTTCACATAGCGGTTGATTTCGAGCGTTGCCGGAGCCTCGAGCGGCTAGTTTCGGGTTTGTTGGCCGCGCCCCAAACAAAACTTTGAGGGGTCCATATCTGTAGAACTACGCACAATAACGAGAAAAAAATTGCACCTTGCAGTCCAGGGACGCTGACTGGACTAAAAACAGTCATAATCCCAAAACCGAAAGTATGGACCGGAGTTGCCCTTTAACGTTTGCTCGGCTGAAGTGGAAAAGGGTGGGAGGAGCTTCCACTTCGTTCTTGACCTGTCACCGACTCTAGGTGCATCTTTTTAGCCACACCTGCACTGGTGAAGAAAATTGTAGGGCAATGTATTTACGGTTCTATCTCGATACACATGCCAGAAGTACACCACCTTGCACTTTCTTACACATGCCAGAAGTACACCACATTGCACTTTTTCACACCGGTGCAGGTAGTGCAACTAAAAAAATGCACCCACTAAAAAAAAAAAAATTTGTATCGGCCCACCAAAGCTCTGCCAAAACCTCTTTGAACACTGTGTTTTATCAGACAAATTTTATGAAAATGTGTACCAAAAGAAACCCTGACAGAGACATTTACGAGAGCAAACAAGTGGACTACAT